GAGCGGAAAAGGGTTTCTGTTCGCATTGACCTCACATCACTTGTCAAAATTGAAGTTGGGACCTCTTTGCTCCTATGTGCGTAGAATTCCCAATGCGTTCGGAGGCTCTTACAGCGCCCCTCTTTGGGTAGGATGGACAGGACTAGTACCTTGCAAAGCCGAGCTTGGAGTTCGGCTTCCCTACAAGCGGGTGCTGAGCATTGCGCCATGATGTCTGGGCAACCCTTGGCCCACGAACTTTCAAAGGAAGAGCTCATTAAGCGCTTGCAGGACAAAGGTTCACATATCCAGCGTACATAGGAGGCATCAATTCAAGGATCTTGCCAGACAAGCGAGTAGGCCAAGACATCAATTTATAATTACTTTCGTGTGTTCACAATCTTTTCCAGGAGACGGAAGCTATGCTGCGCATGAAGCAAGAGCCTGTCCCACCTAGCGGCCCTATGAAGAATGAGCTTCCTCGAGCTGTGAAGATCGAACAGGCGCCCAATGTTTCCCATGAATTTGGCGGTCACCATCTAAAGTGATTTCACTTTTTTTTTAATTATTCATCCCCATGATTTGCCTATAAACCAGAAGTTATAGACCATTTGCGAGCTTCTATTATTCATGGGGCGCACAGACTCAGTCATGATATTGTCCGGCCAGGACGTTCCTCCTCCTGAACCCAACGCGCGGAAGGTACCCAGGCTAACATCTTAAAACCATGCAATCAGGAGGGCCCAATGTGTTGAACTCTTTTTATTGTTTCCCCACGTCCAAGGTGCTGACCGCCAAAGCTCCATGCCTGGCTCCTGCGGTTGAGGTTTTCTCGATAGACATGTCTATGTACGGAAACCTAGGGGTCTGGGCCAACCTAATCTTAAGCCAGTAGACACGCAGGCGGTGGAAGAGGCAGGGGAGAACACCGACTTGGAATCTGGTGATCTGATGTTAACTTTGTATAGTTGATGTTATTACGTTCTTCACTCAGAATTTGGGTCATCCAGAAATGAACCATGTTCACTAGCTTCAGAAAGGAAACCAAGAAATCCTAAGCTGACTACGATAGATATATCTCTTTAGAGGATGCCGTGCGCGCGCTAACGGACCCCTGTAATAAGGAGTCTGATGAGAATGACGAGAGTAGCGATGACCTGCCCTCCTTGCGCAAGAAGCTCTCAGAGATTTTTGAGAAAGTTTCAGACCTGGAGCGACAGCAAGCTGAGTCCCCAGCTTCTTCGAAGTTCCTAACTCCCCCGGCCCGGTCCAAGTCTGGAGCCAACCTCCTGGCCTCAGACGTGCAAAAGAACAGGCGGCAGCGCAGGGCTGCCCCAGCCCCTCCCCCAACGCCTCCAGCAGACCCCATGATGGAGCAGATGAACATGATGAAGGCCCAAATCGCGCAGCAAGCTGCTCTAATCCAGACCTTGCAAGAGAAGCAAAAGCCTCCCAGCGTTGCAGACAGCAAGGCTGACACGGAGGAAGAGGGTCCGCCTGAGCTTGAGCTTCAAAAAAAGGCTGCGCACCAGCCGGCTTCCATCGTACCTCGTGAGAAGTCTTCCCAGCCCGGACCAGCGGCCCATGACCAGCAGATTGAGGCAGAGAAACCTGACCATCAATCTGCCGTTGATGCAGACAAGGAGGCCATCGTCACCCCGGATGGGAAGAAGGTCGGGATGTGATCCAGCTTCTCTCGGTTCTTCATGCTCAGGCTCAGGATTCAGGGTTTGCGCCATGAAACAAAAAAATTCTTCCACAGGTCATGTCACGCGATGCTTTGCGGATGCGTCTCAAACGCATTTGTGAGAAGAAGAAAACGGGCAAGATGTGGATCTCTCAAGAGATACACGGCGAATACGTCAAGGGCGGGACTTGCAGAGAGCAACTGGAGTTGGCGCTCCTGGAGACTATCCAGGCCTTGGGCGAGAACGACAAGAAACCGGACAAAGTCAGAGCCAGGGCCTTGGTCAAAACACGCTCCATTGGATCATCCAAGTTTCCAGTGTCCTGACCCACCAGGCTGCGTTCGTGTCCCGGGTGGTCCACGTGAAGGAACGAATGCTTGCCCGTGAACAAGAGATCACAGGCAAGTGGCTCACAGAGGACAGGATGAAGACCGAACACAACTTCGGGAAGCTTTGCGGATGCAATTAATATAGGATCCATCATGCATACAAGCCTGAGTGTCCTTTGAACTTTCCGATTGCTTCAGGGACCTCATCAAGCAGATTATTTCGTACTGCTTGAAATTCCCAAACACCCTCACAAGGCCAGGCATCAAGAGTTGTGCGGACATGATTTTATATAGATCTCCTAAGCTGCATTTCTCACGGACCAGTCCTCAATGTCAGAGCTGTTATAATCGAAGCTCCATTTGACTCCTAAGCTGGATTGCAGCGTGTGGGGTTCAAGCATATAGGGCCAGGATTTTGCATTTCCTGGGTATGGACCTTCTGGTCCCGGTTTTGCTTAATGCACCACCCCTATAGACCCCAAAGATGTTCAATTTTCAAGGTAATAATTTCTTGGTGCGTTCAGCAAAGTCGCCGAAACGATTGTTCCATTGCGGGTGTCAAGGGAGGTCTTTGGAAGGGTTCTAGGATAAAAAAAAGAAGGGTGGTGCGTTTTAAATTATGAGACCCATCAGCCCTGTAAATGCAGCCTAGCCTGATCCCTGCCAGGCCCTGGAAGTACAACAGCGCAGTGACTGAGTACTTTGTGGAGTTGGAAGAGACCAGCAAGATCAAGCGCAGTGACTTGGACAAGTACCTACACGTGAGTGAGAAGGCCAGCTTTAGCCGAATGCTATCAAGTGTACAGTTCGAACTCTAGAAGCTGACAAAGGCTAGCATCATTCACACAAGAGGCTGAACACGCTTTCAATCTTACCATTCATAAGTGTTCCGAGGCGTTTCAAAATTCAGATTACAATTCCAGCCAAGCCTGTATTCGCCCTTATATAGCTTATTAACCCTGACTCCCCCAACCTGCTACTTTTCCTGGTGCCCTCTAGAGATTCCATTTCCTTTCCCTGTGCAACCCATGACTTGCCAGGACTCATCTGGTCAAGAGATGGCTTTGGATCCTGGTGTGGCATCTGGGTTCACTGGGGACTTGAAGCTGGAGCTCCAAGGTTCAGGGGAAACACCAAAGGCTGATGCCGAGACGGCTAAGGTAGGGGTCTGAAACGATAAGCTTAGATTTTTTGAAGCGGAGTAGCCCCATAGCTTTTTATGCCCAAGAAGTGTTTTTGTATTCTCCTTCTTGAACAGTTGATCTGCCATACCACTGTATTTTTGCAGGTCTTGGACGAGGTGAAGTATTACACAAATGCAATCGAGGCAAAGATCAACAGTATTTCGAAGATGCAGTGCAACCTCCGTTTGCCCTACAATCCGAAACCTGACTCCTCGTCGACCGAGTGTTTTGACTGAATTCATGAACATGTGCGGTTGTGGGCCAAACAGGAAAACGTTTTTTCAATCCGCTATGCCCAGGCTTGACAACGAGTTGGATGGAATCCTTGCCCAGCTCAACGTAGCCTATGGATCCCTGGCTAGCATCCTTACGAAGCTTGATATGCAGCGCTTGGATGACAGCGGCCTCAACAGGCCTCCTTGGATAAGTCCATGTTGACCTAGTCTACTCCAGAAAATGTATAAGTTTCTTCCTTCGTGCGCGCTACTGCTGCTTATAATGCTACGCTACTGCTGCTTACGCTACTGCTGCTTATGCTCTCGATCCCTGAGTCTCAAGCTGGAGTTTGCGAAGATTCGAGAGGATGTTGCAAAGCCGTAGCTCAGCCCAAATATGTGTCTGCGTGCAAGGTTCCTGAAGTACATACACTGCAGTGCGCTGCTGTACTTCAATTGTTTTCCTAAGGTGCGCGGATCTTGTGACAAAGGAAAGCACGTACAAGCTCCTAGGTTCAAATGAGTACAATACATTTTCCCATGACCCTGCCCAAGAATGGTTGAAGAGGCTTTCTTTTTTTATGAGATTAGAGTTTTCTAGACCCAGTATACCCATACAATTCACATTCATTTTCGCAGCCCTCCAACAACACCCTTTTGTGTGAACAACAGCAACAACAACATCAGCAACAAGAAGAACAGCAAGTGCCTTCGGTAGTCCTTTTAAGGCTACGCCTCAAGACGATCAACGTGATGCGCAAGGCCAAGAAGAATGATGATGATGATGATGAGGATGACAATGACGGGGCAGACCCTGGCCCTCAAGCAGCCCGAACCCGTAGACGTAAAGGCAAAGGTGCCGCAGCGTCCACCGCTACTCCCATTAAGACGCCGCAAAGGCGCTTGCGCCAGAAGAGCCGTAAGTAGCAACCTGCGGCGCAGCCAAAGGCAGCCCCGCAGTGCTGCAGTGTTTTGAGTTTGCTTTCGGGCATTCGAACATGCAATCTGTGGAACGATTGCACTAGTGCCATCCTGCTTTATGTTGGAGCGGGTCAGGGACATTTCTGGGGAAGCAAGATTCTGCGCAGCGGAAAACTCTTGAGGAACATTGGCAATCTTTCAAGATCCTCCAATTGCCCTCTTATAGCCTGAGAATACCCACTATAATACCCACTACTAGGGACCCTGCAACCCCAATTACGTAAGGGTAGTGCAAAGGTCTTGGCTTATACAGCATGGGAATTCAGCAGGAATAGATTGTGATCGTGTCACGAGTGCAGTTTGAGTGGCTGATGATTTCGCGGGACCTGGGAAGATTACCAGCTACCATTGTATATAAATGTTCTCCAAAATTGTTCTACAGAATTGAAACAACCCTTTCGAACTTTTCATGGGATGGAATGATATCTGCAACCCTGGGCCCCAGCACTCTAGATTTTATACACCACGTACTTATTGGCTGCAATTGCACGCCAGGTACTTCATGGACAGCCAAGTCACTGGCCGGTGATGTTGGCAGAGGCATACCAGCAAGGCAAGCCTTGCGCACCGCTAGAAGTGTTGTCAAAGACTTCGGGAAAGGGCATTGCAGTGTTCTAGATGGTCTTAGCAAGGCCTCCGAGAAGAAGTCAGACCCTGGTTTGAGTTAGGGGCTTTTTTGGCATATATATTGTACGTAGGGTGTATATGGTTTTTAAAGGGTTTAGGGTATTCGAGGGCTTGGGGTTCTTTAAGCGAAATTGGGTTTATTCGGATTTGGGGCTTATAATGGTACTTGAGCATTTTTGGGGTTGTGTAGGGTTAGAGGGTTGAATATAATAAGGTCTATATAGTTTTTTGGGGGGTGGGATGGTTAGGGTTGGGTTTAGCGCATAGTTTTTTTCTTTTTTTATGGGCTTCAGGGTTTACAAGGGTGTGTATAGAATTAGATTGGGTCTACATGGCAAGCATGAGGAGGATGCAGTGCAGAGCACCATGCGCCACTTGCGCTTGGATGTGCCCATTAGCTTCGTGCCCATCACTGGTTGCGAGGAGCCCTATCCCATTTTGAAATGCTCAGACTTCCTAGCTTACATTGATGAGTTCAATCACTGGGATAAATTGCTTGGCGTCGGGGTGCGCACGCTGAAGGATGCGGAGCCCAGATTGCTGGATTTCTGGGGCAAGTATGAGCAGTTGTACCCGAACTTTCCAGTGTATGCACACGCG